TGTCTTGGGCTCTAGCATAGTGCGTAAGAATTTATTTTTTAAATAAAACTCTAGCATGGACATAAAGTTGCTTTCTATCGAAACACTAGGAGCTCTTTGCCCTCCAAGCATATTGATATTAAGTATATGTTTGTTAGAGTGAAAATAATTGAGTCTTATATTTGTATTGAGCATATTTCGTCAGATCATATGTTAGCCGACCCACTAACTAAAGGTTTAGCTCCAAAATTGTTTCAGGAGCATGTGATTCATCAGAGATTATTAGAGTCTTATGTTGTATTTAGTTAGTGGGAGTTCTGTAATCATTGCTAGTTTAATATATATTTTGTTTATCTTCATATTCTAATTTTGTCCTTTAAATATAACAATGTCAATGTATGCCTGAGTTACGTACATTTTGGACAAGGCAATGCTCATATATATTGAGTCATTTTGGTAAGTCTCATGCCCGAGTCACGTACATTTTGGACAAGGCAATGCTTATATATATTGAGACATTTTGGTTAGTCTCGTGCCCGAGTCACGTGCATTTTGGACAAGGGAATGCTTATTTTTGTATTGAGACATTTTGATTAGTCTTATGCCTGAGTCATGCTCATTATGGACAAGGTGTATTATTTGTAAGAGACAATATGTGTTTGATCTATGTCTAAATCTGATAGTTGTGAGTATATGTTTGGTGTCATATACCCTGTCAGTATAGTCATTAGACTATGTGCTACAACTGTATTTTGGTTAAGGCTTATTGTTTTATAGACATTCAGATTTTTCTCTAGGACTTCTTATGGAAATATGTGCTTATCAATTTTTTGATATTTTCCATACCATTTTTGCATCTCATTGGTTTATGTTACGTGATTTCAAGTATTGGTCATGTGTTGTATATCCTGTCGGTATATCATTCACTGGCTTGAACTTGTAGACACTTTTCAAACAAGACCTTTAAGTTTTAGGATGCTTGTTTGTGTTTATGTAGTGACAAAATGTAATGCTATCCAAGTGGGAGATTGTTGGATTGTTTTACTACATATGGACTATCATTTACATTTTGATTGTTGGGCCCATAATGGAATGGACCATTTTTTAAAGGGGTATTTACAAAAATACTTTTAAAATTAGGGATGTTTTGAAAAATCATATGAAGAGTTTTTAGAAAGTAAAAAATACTGTGTAAAATAAAAAAGTGACACAATGTCACTTTTTTTACTTTTTTAAAAAAGTGACAAACTCAAAAAAAAGTGACAAAATGAAAAAAAAAAAAAAAAAAAAAAGTAACAAAGCACTTAAAAAATGATACAAACTCAAAAAAAGTGACATATCAAAATA